ACTTTAATAAAAGCAAATTAATTTTATTTGATCATTCTTTATTGAGTGACGAGCGAAAAATGTTGTTTACACTATCGAGGATCAGTCTTTCTGCTAGGGAAAATCTGAAAATGTCTCTATTTGGGGAAAAGAGGGAAATCTTAGAAATTACTACTATTGGTTTATTAAGTAGGTTGCGCGATTCCCACAAAAGTAAAGAGGGAAATGTCTTACTTTTAATGAATGCATACTTGATCCGAAAATAGATTTAGGAACAGGATGTGGCTTTTTAAAAGTGTGAGAAAGTGTTTCGATTGGAATAATTAATTAGGAATTGTTTTATGGAAAAGAAATAACATAAAAAAGATTAATAGAAACATTTTATGTTACATATATATACACCACTGAAATTTGATCTGGACTAGGGTACTACTATATCACCAGCGATCCCTCGTAGTAGCAATGCACAGTAAAGGAGTGGTATGCTATTTTTGCCTTTATCTGTGTTTTTGTCACAAAGTAGCTTAATTAATAATTATAACCTTGTTCATTTTTTGTATTATAATTTTTCATTTAAAGTCACTTAACATTTTTAAAGCAAATCTTATAAAAANTAATCGAATCTAATTGTTTTCATATAGAAATAGATTGCTTTAATTTTTTTGCTTTTAGAATTCGGTTATAGTCAATATTATTTTATTATTTTGATTTTGATTACTCAACCTCAATATTAATTTTTTCACCTGATTTGTTTCTGTACCTGATACAATTACTATAATGAAACATTAAATCATACTGTTTTAAGCTGATACTTCAAATTCAGTTATGTTGTTTTATAAATTTAATCTTTTTGTCCATTCTTAGCTATTTTTATAAGTTCTATCTTATTACAGGTTCTGGGTTATCTTTATTTATGCTCTAGTAAGCATTTTTGTCTGCAGATCTATACATTTACAATTTTTCTTTATTATCGAAGATTATGCACATTTAAACTTATTAAGAAATTTAAACTTATATTATGACATGAAGAAAAAAAAATCTACATAGTTTTATTCTATGCATGTAGGCTTTTTTATAAACATGAAGTGCATCTATTATTATAAATTCATTACACATATATTTATAACGATAAAAATATCTTGCAGAAAGATATTGGTTCTAGCTAGGTTTGTCGCAGAAAGCGAGAAAAAATTCTGCCCCAGGGTTTGCTAGGATTTCTTTAAAAAAAACCCTACCAAAGGGATGCACAACCTATAGCTCACGGATTAAAGTTTATGACTTAGTTTCTGTGCAGTTTTAATTATTTATTATTATTTAATGGAATTTATGATTAATTTAATTATTATTTAATGAAAAATATAAAAATTAAGCTAAAAAGTCTTTTTTTGTTCTGTCGGAATCAGTTTTTTAGGTCATCCTGTTCTTTTATTCTCTTTTTCTTTAAGTGCAAGCTTAAACCATTAGTTTTTGGGGAAATGTAATTGCTCACAAATTTTGCATTCTATTATGATCAGAACTTTTTTTTAAAATAACTGCAGGCACTGAACTTTCGTTCTTCGCCTTAGAAGATGCCGGAAGTGTTGCTCTTTTATCGATACCCAGTGGGCACCTGTGAATTAAAGTAACGGAGGCGAGCAACATTACCTACGACACACTGCCCCAGATACCCGTTCATAGGGTGGGTCACATTCACACATCAGAAGACAACACACAGAGAGAAACATCCATGCCCAGAGCGGGGTTCGAACCCTCAGCCATTGACTTCGCAGTCAACCATTCGACCACCTGGCCGGCATTACGATTGGAACTAATGCATGTTATTTTCCATTAGGATCTAAATATGCATTTTTACGATTACAGAAAAGCAAATAAGATTTAAATAAATTAAATTGATATGATTTATTAATTATCACCTTTTTATTTAAAAAACTAATCTTAATAGTATGTTTCTTTATGAAGTCTAAGTAAAGTAATTTTAATATCTATCAGTAACTTTTTTTCTTGTGTTATATTTTGAAAAATAATATCAAAAAAGGCAAAATTTTGAATTTTTATTGAAATGATCAGCCTTAAAGCGTAAAAATAAAATTTTCAAAGTTAATCTTGATTGTTTAGAAATGCTCAGATCAGAATGTTTAAAAAATTGAAACTGGAAAAGAATAAAATGATATATCTCTTTTATTCATCACTTAATGTAATTTTAATCTAAAGAAATTTAAATTTATTAATTTATCTAAAAAAAATTAATTATTAAAGAAATTTACTTATTTTCTCAAAATGTGCGTTTAATGGAATCTGAGGGCAGGCAGGGTGAGCGGACTACCGGAAAATGCTTAGAGGAAACACTGAATATTAAAAACAGACCGGGTCCAGACCATATTACGGTGAATGCTATATTGTAAAGCTGTGTTAGCTTATCACTTCCTAATGTATATCGCTTATCATAAATGTAGCTGCTCTTGTGAATTCTCTCTCTAGCCTGTCTGTTATTTTCATCTCTGCTTAAGTTAATAGTTTTTCAGTCCTAACTAATAAGAATAGGCGATTTGGGGTTTCTTCATTTTGTGATGTAGTAAAACTGTTACCTGGCCTTATTGCTTAAATAAAAATATTTACCCTCAACTTGCTGAACTTGTAAAAAAAAAATCTGTTTATCACATGTTATTTTATATATAACAGGTATATGCAGTATACCTGTAATATATAAAATAAATAAATTGTAATAAGTAAATTGGTATATACAGGGTATGCCGCGCACCTGGAAAGTCGTGAATTTCGGCATTGAACAAAATTTGTCATGATTTTAACTAATTTTTTTAAAAAAATCATGGAAAGTCATGGATTTACGACGCCGAAAATTTTTATTTTTAAAATAGAATCCCCTTCCCCCAATTTCATGGTGTNCTGAATTTGTAACAAAATGCCCACTCAGAGTCATATTTGATTAAAATATAAAATGTTTTTATCATGTTCTTTAAAAATTATGGTGTTCTTTCATAAAATGAAAGGAAAAACATCATTTCTAGAGTGAATTATTTTTTCAACTTCTGTGATTTCGGAATTTTTATTATTTTTTTATTTTATCAATTTAAAATTCTAGCTGAAGCATGCCAGTCATTGTCATTTTTTTTTCCGAAATGAGAACAGAAACATCAGGAGTATTTCTTTCCTTTCTGATGAACAAGAAGAAGAAAAATATTTGCTTAGTTATTATTTTTTGAGCTATTTTATTGCCTCAACTCTTTCTTTGCTCTGTTTTTTAAATTTGAAATCAATAAATATGAAGATGCAGAGTATAACAGTTTTGGTTATACCTATCATTTGAATTAATGTTATTATAATGCTTTTTAGATTTGTTGTTCTGTTTTTGTCGAAGAAAATAGTAACTTTGTTAAGTCATGAAAAGTTCTTAGAATTGGTCATGAATTTGAAAATCTAAAATCTAGCAGATACCCTCGATATAATATATCTGCAAAAGGTGGCAGTCGGACCGAGTAGGAAAACAGAGACACAAGACTTTAATAAAAGCAAATTAATTTTATTTGATCATTCTTTATCGAGTGACAAGCGAGAAGTGTTGTTTACACTATCGAGGATCAGTCTTTCTGCTAGGGAGAATCCTGCAAAAAATCTGAAAATGTCTCTATTTGGGGAAAAGAGGAAAATCTTAGAAATTACTATCGGTTTATTGAGCAGGTTGCGCAATTCCCACAAAAGTAAGGAGGGAAACGTCTTACTTTTAATGAATGCATACTTGATCCGAAAATAGATTTAGGAACAGGATGTGGCTTTTTAAAAGTGTGAGAAAGAGTTTCGATTGGAATAATTAATTAGGAATTGTTTTATAGAAAAGAAATAACATAAAAAAGATTAATAGACGCATTTTATGTTACATATATATACACCACTGAAATTTGATCTGATTGAAATTTGACTAGGGTACTACTATATCACCAGCGATCCCTCGTAGTAGCAATGCACAGTAAAGGAGTGGTATGCTATTTTTGCCTTTATCTGTGTTTTTGTCACAAAGTAGCTTAATTAATAATTATAACCTTGTTCATTTTTTGTATTATAATTTTTCATTTAAAGTCACTTAACATTTTTAAAGCAAATCTTATAAAAACGTTGAAAAAGACCAGTGAAAATGTGAATTTGCTAGCAATTATATCTTTTTAGATACTTATCTTTCTAATTATAGGGGATTTTTTTTTTTTTTTTAAATATCTTCCCCTGAATGAGCTTAAACTATTTAGTACTTCTTTGTCCATGGGCAGAATATTGTATTTGTTGGCTTGATTTAAATATTTTACTTTAATAGTTATAATAGAATATATGCAATGAAGTTAATGAAAAACTTTTTCTATTTTCCCCCCAAAGGTTGTTATTTAAAGTGGAAGGCATTGCTCTGAATTTTATGGCACTAGAAGATAACCAAAAAATTAAGTCAAGAAAAGGTGATCTTAAAATTTGTTTCCACTGTCTACATGAATGAAGACATTTTTATTATCTTATCAGACTATAATCATTCTCCATGGTATTTTAAATGCCATTATTCCTTGATATTTTTTATTAATTCCATTGTATAACTTTCATGTACTTGTAATAACTTCTTTGTTTCCACTGCCTTTTAATAGATTGGCTGTTAATATTAGAACCTAACAGTANTTTATATTCATAGTATATATTTCAATTTTAGGAATAATTTTGTATCAAAAATGTGTTTTTGTCCTCTCATCTTGGAAAATATAGGTTTTTGCCACTTTTTGCCACTTTGCTTGGCAAAAACCTGTTTTTGCCAGGACGGTTTTTACCGGTATTTACCATGGTTTTTTCCACCTGCGGCAAAATCTTGCCAACCCTGATATCTACCCCTGAATCAACTTAAACTATTTAGTACTTCTTTGTCCATGGGCAGAATATTGTATTTGTTGGCATGATTTAAATATTTTATTTTAATAGTAATAATAGAATATATGAAATGAAGTTAATGAAAAACTTTTTCTATTTTCCCCCTAAAGGTCCCCCTAAAAGTGGAAGGCATTGCTCTGAATTTTATGGCATTTGAAGATAACCAAAAAATTTAGTCAAGAAAAGGTGATCTTAAAATTTGTTTCCACTGTCTACGTGAATGAAGACATTTTTATTATCTTATCAGACTATAATCATTCTCCATGATATTTTAAATGCCATTATTCCTTGATATTTTTTATTAATTCCATTGTATAACTTTCATGTACTTCTTTGTTTCCACTGCCTTTTAATAGATTGGCTGTTAATATTAGAACCTAACAGTAATTCCAGAACTCATTCTACAAAAAAACTTTCATGTGAAATTATAATTGTAGTTATTACAAAAAATTACTTTTAATTAAACACGAGTCATTTTAAAATTACCGTGTAAATCTCTTTAAAAAGATAATTTATCTATACACAGTGAAATACAATGTGAGATTATATGTATAATATAAGTTTTTAAGTAGACAGTGAGTTGCTTTGGTCTAAGGTTTATGTTGTTAAGAAAGTTTACTTTTCTAGAAATAAGAGTTCTACACAAAAAGGTCAAGTTACTTGATACATTCATGCTCATGCAGATGAGAAACCTTATCTCGTAGTACTTGTGATAACAGTTTATAACAGAATAGTTATATAAAGGAGCACAATCTTAATTATACAGGGAAAAATTCGTATTTTTTTATGAAGTATTATAAAAGCTATTTGTCATGTTAATCCTGGTGAGAAACATTTTAAAATAATTTAAAGTTTTTCAATAAAGGAAAATTTAACGAACGCTATCTTACCCAAACTGTTAAAAAATCTTGTACATATATTATAAGCTATAAAAGTTTTTTCAAATGAGTTATTTGGCAGAGCACAGTCGTGTGCATACTGATGAGAAACCTTATTCTTGTAGCATTTGTTACAAGAGATTTACAATGTCTTGCACTCTATCTAGGCACTATCGTGTTCATACGGGTGAGACGTCTTATTCTTGTGGTATGTGTAATAAAAGTTTTTCTCGGAGAAGTACTCTAAATGTGCACAGTCGTATTCATACTGGAGAGAAACCTTATTCTTGTAGTATATGTAATAAAAGTTTTTCTCGGAGAAATACTCTAAATGTGCACAGTCGTATTCATACTGGAGAGAAACCTTTTTCTTGTAGTATATGTAATAAGAGTTTTTCTGAGAGAAACACTCTAAATGTGCACAGTCGTATTCATACTGGAGAGAAACCTTATTCTTGTAGTATATGTAATAAAAGTTTTTCAGCAGAGAAACATCTGACAAGACACCATCTTATTCATACAGGTGAGAAACCTTATTCTTGTAGTATATGTAATAAGAGTTTTTCTCGCAAAAGTAGTTTAACTGTGCACACTCATGTTCATACTGGTGAGAAAGCTTTTTCTTGTAGTATATGCCACAAGAGTTTTTCACAGAGAGGATATCTGATAATACACCATCGTATTCATACTGGTGAGAAACCTTATTCATGTAGTATATGCCATAAGAGTTTTTCTCGGCGAAGTGCTCTAAAATTGCACAGTCGTATTCATACTGGCGAGAAACCTTATTCTTGTAATATATGTAGTAAGAGTTTTTCACTGAAAAGAAATCTGACTGTGCACACTCATGTTCATACTGGTGAGAAACCTTATTCTTGTACTATATGTAATGAGAGTTTTTCACGGAGGAAGCAGTTGACTGAGCACAGTCTCGTTCATGCTAGAGAAAAACCTTTTTCTTGCAGTAATCTATAAGAATTTGTTTTAAAAGGGACTAGTCTGACTGCACAATCGTGTTCAAACTCATGAGTAATTTATTCTTGTAGCATTTGAAATGTGAGTTTTTCAGCAAAGAGTCAGCTGACAGAGCAAAGTGTTGTTCATAGTGTGGAGAAATTTTATTCTTTAATAAATGTAATTATAGTTTTTCCCAGATAATTAGTCTGATTGTGCCAAAGCATGTTCATATTGGTGAGAAACTGTATTCTTGTATGTATAAAGAGTTTTTCAAAATAGTAATAATAATAATTCTAACTAAAATGTGTCACTCTCATATTGATGGGAAACTTTTATCTTGTAACTTAGGTAATAGAATTTTTCCTTGAGATTTACTCTAATAACTCTCCAAATTTCTGTTCATGCTTTTGTGTAGCTTTATATTTGCAATTTACTATAATAATTTTTTTTTTTACAATATAGTGTTCCAGCTGTGAATAATAAGTGAATTTTAATTTAGAAATCTCATTCTTGTACTGCATGCAAATAAATATTTGTGAAGTAATTTTAATGTTTATTCAAGGCTGATTGTGCTCCGGAAAAGTTCAGGATTTCCGGAATTTTTGCTAACAGTGATCTGGAAGTTTCCGGAGATCGAAGGTCCAGACGTTTCAAAAAATAATTGATTACGGAAGTTTCGGGACATCAAATTTTCAAAGGTGGAACTTAAAAACACAGTTTATTTTATATGTTTGTAAAGGAGAACTAGAGAGATACTTTATAAGCTCATATTCAAGATTAATTTTCATTTTTTATCAGTAATTAGTTGTTATAATCATAAACTCAAGAAAGAAAGACATATTTGTAAATTTTAATTACTTCTCTAGGTATGTGTAAAATTTTAAATATTTTTAAGCGAACTAAGAAATATTGAGAAAAAGGAAAAAAACCTTGTTTAAATTTTTTTTATAATTTTTCAATTAAACAGTTTTTTTTCTTTATTTTAATTTTTTAACTCAATGAATTTTCTAGAATTTTGACTTGGGCTTACAATCACCCCTGGTCTATTAACTGAACTAAAAATTTAACTTCTGTTTAACCTTATTTTAGCAGCTGGCTGAATGTGACTGAGATGATGCAATGCATTTCAAGTTATAAATGAAAGCAAAACCGACCGCCAATCTACGACTAATAATAGATTGACGGTCAGTTGTCCATTTCGATTGAAAGCATTAATATTTATTGAAACAAAACTGTCCATCAAAGTATGACTAATAGTAGCTCGCAGGTAAGTAGGTCATCCGTTTTAATCGAAAATATTAATTTCAAAAATTTCTAATGGAAAACCCATTTGCATTACGATCGCAAATATTCTTTGCAAAAATTATTGTTTAATTGAAAACAATTATAGCAATAAATATTTACGATCAAAATGGGGGGATGGCACATAAAACTCTTTACTCGTGGCACGTATTCAGTCATTGGGTCATAGAAGAAGTAAATAATTTTTAAACCAATTCGAAATATATTAACTGAGAAAGTATATGGAATTTTTTATTGCACCTTAAGCATTGAGGAAATTTTAAAATATATTTTTGACAATCGAATTGCGAAAAATTATTATAGAGTGGGAGATGTAATACATTCCTAAATATCCAATCATACATAAATTACATATTTGAGTAAAAACTTGGATAAATTAAGTTTCAACTCCTCAGTATTAAGAAAAGTTTTTAATGGCAAAAATCTTTCGTTTAAGCTAAAAAAAAAATTATGAAACTGGTTGGCGAGCTGAAATTCTTTTTATTACCAATTAAACGTGTCAATAGATAAAAAGATTGATTTTTAACAGACCCATTTGTTTGGGTACACTGTCTTTCAGTTCTTCGATGCGAATACACGAAATAATTAATTTTTTAAATGTATATTTTGCTTCAAAATGTATAATTCATTCAAAAAAATTCATTGGCTTAGAATATAATTATTATAATTGCTCACACAGCAAATTGGTGCACAGTAAGCAATTGTGAAAAAAAATTGAGCTTGGCTAGAATGATTTGAGTCAGGACTGAATATATCTGAAGCAATTTTGTAAAAAAAAAAAAAAAAAAAACTGACATTAATCTTGAATTAGGCAAAATGGATTGAATTGAGGAACTTTATCCATATAAATTCAACATTCATACATGTTAGACTATGTAAAGGCACAATTTCAGAATCACATGACGTTAAATGACAGAATTGGATATTCAACAGATAGTGGTGAGTTGGCCAAAATTAAGACTCAGCAGTTATGACTGCAGTAAAGCTGTCATTTATTAGAAATGACATAAGACATCTTGACCATCATTTAGTAGCAGGTGTTCCTTTGAAACTGTCCTTACAATGCCTTTTTTTTGGGGGGGGGGGATAGTCTTGTGGCAAGTTGGACTGGTCATCCATAAGACTAGTAGCAGACAGTTGCTATACTATTTGGAATAGAAAAAAACAGTGTATGCTATTTATTTGTCGACGCTTGCCTCTTTAAAAAGTATTAAAAAATGCATGATTTTTACCCAACCTATTTTCTTTTTAATTTCTAATTCTTGAAAATTTATTTTTGTTGACTTCAACATCTAATTATACATCTTTTTAGCTATTACTTTACATCAAGTTTGAATAATGCTAAGGCTTTTTCTTTCTTCGGATAAAACCTGGGAATTTTTAAGCAGACTTGACAAGGTATTCTACACAGGGTTGGGTTTTTGCCGTCAAAAACTGGTTTTTGACATGACAGTGGTAAAAAGCGTCAAAAACCTACTGTTTTCATTATTTATGGCATATAGCGAACAATATAGTATTTTTACATAATTGCCTTTATAAATGAATGTTGTAAATGATTGCTATTGATTTTGCAACTATATACACATATTCTTATAGAAAGATATACAATATACTTATTGAAAATAGTGATACTTACTTTTATCATTATAGCTTGATTTGCAAAGGATTCAAAATTTTGCACTTGTTAATTGTTAGAAATAAACAAACAAAAAAGCTTGGAACTATTAATAAATTCAAGAACTAAAAAGAAGAATTTAAAATTTGGCATTTCTTAAATATATTAGAAATAAGCTAAACAAAACTTTTAAAACTTGTAACTACTAGCAAACTCTAAGTCAAGAATTACTGCTATTTTGTCAAGTTAAAAACTTTTATTCAGTTGAAAAAGCACATTAAACTAAACCTAATTACAAACAGAATTACATGTTCAGTAGTCGGGGTCACTGTGCCGAAGCATATGATAGCAAGTGACTAATTTTGCGCATTTTTCATT